TAAACCAAATCAACTCTATCTGTGAAGTTGTTGATCCTGTGATGGTGAAGTATGTAGCCTTGGTGGCCGAGCTGAAGTGCAAATTCCAGAAATTCGATCTGAGTAAAATCCCCCGAGCTGAGAATGAACAGGCAGATTCACTCTCCAAGTTTGCCTCTGATAGCTCTTTAAGTTCCAGATTCGTTTTTGTAGAGATCTTAGATGAACCAAGCTTCATGAAGCCTCGGGTGATGGAGATCAGCACAAACCCAGACACGCCGAGCTGGATTGATTCAATCGCCTCTTTTTTGCGAGATGGGATAGTACCTGAAGACAGGCAGGAGGCAATGAAATTGAGAAAGAAAGCATCTCGGTATACCCTCGTTGATGGGGTCCTATATAAGAGATCTTTCTCGCTTCCTCTTTTGCGATGTTTGAATCCCTACGAAGCCGAGTATGCACTTCGAGAGGTACATGAAGGTGTCTGTGGGAGCCAAGTCAGTGCTAGAACTCTGGCTCACAAAGTCTTAAGGCAAGGATATTACTGGCCAAACATGTATAGGGATGCCACTCACTTCGTTCAGAAATGTCCGAAGTGCCAATTCTTTACACATCTGACTCACCAATCGGTAGAAGAACTCACGAACTTGGTAGCACCATGGCCATTTGCTCAGTGGGGATTGGATCTTTTAGGCCCATTTGTGAAAGGGGTTGGTGGTGTAACCCATCTGGTGGTTAGTGTGGATTATTTCACAAAGTGGGTAGAAGCTCGGCCTTTATCTAGTCTTACCTCTAAGAAGGTCAAAGATTTTGTTTTCAGCTTGATCATCTGCAGATATGGGATCCCGAATCAGATTGTGGCTGATAATGGAACTCAATTCAATTGCTCCTCATTCCGAGATTTCTGTTCCAGTTATGGGATTAAGTTACAATTCACCTCCGTTTACCATCCGGAGTCCAATGGCATGGTTGAATCTGTTAACAAATGCGTTTTAGAAGGTATAAAGCCGAAACTGGAACAGCATAAGGCCAAGTGGGCAGACGAGCTCAACAACGTCCTCTGGGCATACAGAACCACGAGCCGAACTGCCACAGGTACTACTTTAAACCGAGTTTATTTGAATAATTTCTATATTATTTTACTTTTTCTGTTATGCTTTACCTTAGAGCAAATATGCATAATGCATAAAGCGCATTCTAAAGTCATAATTAACTGAAATAGGTGAAACACCCTACCACCTGGCCTTTGGTACCGAAGCAGTCATTCCTGTTGAAATAGGAGTCCCAAGCCTCCGGGTTACCCATTTCGATGAAGGACGAAATGGACAACTGTTTCGGGAAAACCTTGATCTGCTTGCTGAAGTCAGAGAAGAAGCTCGGCTTCGAACTCTTGTATACAAGCAGAAACTAGCCAACTTCTACAATAAACGGGTCCGCCCTCGAACATTCAAAATAGGAGACCTAGTTCTCAGAAAAGCTGGCCTAACGGGGTTTGAAACTCGTTTTGGCAAACTCGCCCCAAATTGGGAAGGCCCTTATGCCGTGACCGAAGTGCCACATCCTGGCGCCTCTATCCTCCAAGACGTTGAAGGAAAGAGAGTTCCTAGAGTCTGGAATGTCAATAACTTGAAGAAATTTTACCCTTAATAAAATTCTTTCAAGTGTTCTAGGTCTTAAAATTCTTTACGCTTCTCACTTCATGTTTGTTGAGATTCATTTTACTTCTTATTCTATGTACCCGAGGTCAATTAGTTCCTTCATTTCTTGAACCTCACCTCTGATTAATAAATGTCACTTCACATATGAAGTGCTTTATTTCCCCTCTATTCATTTACAGTGATGTACTTGTTCTTAACTCACTTGAAGAGGTTTCTTTCTCTGTAGTTCGTTTCTGAAGTGATTAACTTCTTTTTATTAACCTTCTTTTTTAAAAGTGATCTCAGTTCTTCTATCAATATATAATAATAAGCAGGCAAACATAAATAAACACATAATTACAAAAATGAATTTTCATTCAGAATAACATAAATATTACAAACTGTTTAACTGTCTTTACAAAAAATCAAAAAACAAAAATTATTTCCCTGATGGGAGAGGTGGCTCCACTGGCTCCACTGGCTCCTGCTCAGCTGGAGGAGGTGGCTGAGTTGGCTGCTGCTCGTCCGGCAGAGGAGGTTGCTCATCGTCAAAAGGAACTGGATGAATCTCCACTTCTGGAACTGGTTGGACCTCACCCACTTCAGTTCCCTCCACTCTTGCCTCCATCTCGTCCTCCTCTGCCTCTGCCCCTCCTTCCTCCACTGCAACGAACTCGAAGTCGAACTGTGGAGGAAAAACAGCAAGACCGTCTGCATCATCCTCCCACCTCAGCTTAATCTGAGGACGAAAGTCTGCTGACATGCTCTCGCCATCCTCCTCCACTCCTCCTTCTTGCTCGCCGAAGGTGATCTTTGTCACATCCACTTCGGGATATTCAGCCTTCACCTTCTTTCTGCAGTCTGTGAAAGCGATGATGGCAGTGGGCAGCCGGTACAAGTTGACGATGCTATCAAAGGAGCTGGAACTGATGAAGTTACTGATGTGCTCCTTCATCCCATTATGCACCAACTTCCGCATGTTCTCCTTCAGCTCCTTGAATGCCTCCGTCATCAGCTTCATTTCTTGTGCCTGAGCCTCACACTCGCTTTCAGCGATCCTCCGTTTGCTCTCCTCAAAAGTGAGCTTGGTGCTCAGAGACGCCCTCTCTTGCTCCAACTGTGAGACGGTTGGAACCACCTCGTTCAGAGACTCTTGCAGCTCCTTATTTTTCTTCTCCAACTCCTCCTTCTCCTTCTGCAGCTGGTCCCGCTGCCTCTGCAAGAGTGCGCGATCTTTCAGGCTCTCCCTGAACTCCTGGGCTAGACCATTCACCCAGCTCGCGCTCTGCAGATCAAAACTGAAGTTAAAAAAGAACGAAGAGAAGGCGACACAGATTAACTAAACAACATTAATACTTTAACATACCTCTAGAACGTGCTTCACAACAGATGCCCCCCATACCTCAGACCTTCCTCCCGCGCGTTGCTTTGGTCCACCTCGGGGAAGGTGTTGTTGATGAACCACCTGGCCCTCGTTATGTTCTTCGCCTCAAACAGGCTGCTCTGAGGCCCCAGTGGGGGAATAGGGCCTTTTCCCTTTCCAGGAGCTCGTACCTCAACCCCCTTCTCCAACTGTCTGAGCTCGGGGTCCAGCTCAACAGGAGAAGGCTGAGGTACGAACACAGGGACCTCATTCCTCGTCTCCTCCTCCACCACCCTCTGCTTCTTCTGTAGCGCCCTCCTCTCCTCCCAGCCCTTCCTCTTCAGCTGTGGCACCTTCTCCTCCGTCTCAGCTGAAGCCGCAAGCATTACCTCTTTCCTGGTCCTCCCCTCATCCACTTGTTTGGTTGAAGTCTTTGACTTCTTCCTTGGCTTCTTGGGGATGGCCGCTCCTCCAGCAGTGTTCAAGAACTGGTCCATTTCAGCTGCAAAGCAAGAATACACAATATCAATCACAGTTCTATACTCTACATTACTCTACATTCAGTACTACAATGCAGAACTAAACCAACCTTCACTCAAAGCGCTTAGCCCATAGAGCTCAGCAGCCTCTATGCATTGCACGCTGATGAGGTCCGAAATGTTTAATAAATCCCCCCCTTCCTCGCCAACCTCCCCACTTCTTCCTCCTCATCCTCATTTAAGCTAAACCTATTCTGGTTGGCCCTTTTGGCCTTCCAGGAAGCTAACTCCCTCACCGCGGCATCCCCTTTTCCCCACTCTGTATCATCTACAAAAAAGAATTTCTCCTTCCATCCTTTAATGATGAAGGACCCACCGTAAACAACGACCTACTCCCCTTACTAGCTACCCTCGGGGTGAAATAATACCACCCCTTATCTCTTCTACTACCCCCCTTTAAAACAAAAAAATACTTAAACATATTTACAGTTGGCACGTTAATCCCCTGAGCTCGGCAATAGACTAAAAATCCTATTATTACCCTTATTGCGTTGGGGACCAACTGTGTCAACCCTATGTTGTAATCTAACAGTAAACCCACTAGCAACTCAGGAAGTGGAAACCTGAGTCCCGCTATCAAATAGTGGGAGTACACAGGCATCCAGTGATCCCGAGGAGCAGGGCATGCCCTCTCCTCTACCCCAGCTGGCCTAACTAAAACTCGAGACGAGATCTCGTAATTTTCTACTAAGTGACCCAGGCTATCCCTGGTCCTTAGCTCAGATCTGTACTGCTTCACCTCCTCCACTATCTTCGCATTCACATCATAATTCCTCTCCCCTCTACCCTCTACTTCTACTACGGTGATGGGTATACTATCTACCCTAACCCCTACCATCTCATTCCTCCCCACCTCTACCACCTCTCTCTCCCCAACCTCCACCACCTCATCTCCTCCCACCCCCTCTACCGTTTTCTCCGAACTAGTTGGAGATGGACTACTCTCTGCGTCCATGCTCCCATAGTCCAGGGGCATCACCTCACTCCCAACTACACTTTCTGATCCTTCTGAAGGCATTTTCTCAAACTCTGCACGAAGTAGGGGGGAGGAATAAATCAGGATCCCACATAAAAAAAAAAAAAACCCCCCTTTGTTGCACATTCAAAATCCTTCTCGCCTCTAACCCTAACTTCCTTCAAAGGACTCTAAATCAATCACAGAAAGGGAGAAAGGAGAAGTGACGCTTCGAGTAACTCAAAATCAGAGGTTCGTCATACATTACCTGATTTCGGTTTCAAAAGATTTGATGTAGAGATCCCCAGTTGTTACCGCAGTTTACGCACAGGAAACACACAATAAAGCTTTTCGCAGAAGTTTTGCAGAGAAAGGAATGCAAGTAAACCTCCCTTTGTAGAAAAAATGTTTATTTATACTTCTGGGCAAAATTAAATTTCAACGGCTGAGATTCATTTAATCTTACGGTTCCTATTCGCACCGTTCAGAATTCGACGGTCAACCCCAAACGGTACCGTTTTGAATTTGACGGTTCGTTTTTTAATTTTTGCCCATTTAACTGTTGCAGTTATCTTTTTACGGCCACATTTATTGCACACGTCATTCTAAGGACAACTGTCACACCTATGTCAGTATTTTTGCACGGGCCCATTTACGCCCATTTCAACACCTTTGTTCACTTTTATACATTCTCAATTTTGCAAGTGTTTCACCTTGGCTTCGACCACAATAATCATGCATTATATTTCACATCGGCTTCGGTCACAGTGACCCAGTATCACACATTTTATTTCGGCTACGGCCATTATGACTACGGTCATTATATTTTATTACAACTCCGGCCATTATGACTCCGGTCATCATATTTTAAGCCCAGCTCAGCACTTCTGCTTACTTTTACAATTACACTTTTTGACGGGCAAAGTGTTTTACTTCGGCTCCGGCCACAGAGACATGTTCTACTTCGGTCTTAGTTACTACGACCACATGTCACATACTCTACCTCAGCTCCGGCCCTTATGACTCCGGTCATCATTTTCCATCTTGGCCTTGGCCTTGGCCTTTATAACTCCAGTTATCATTTTTTATCATGATCTTGGCTCCATTATAACTCCAGTCATTATTTTTTACATTATGACTCCGGTCATTATTTTCAACACAACCACAGCCGTAATCGCTCCGGTCATATTCCATTTAAGGCACCCCAGTATGACCCACTATTATGTATTTCATTATTAGCTACGGCTATGTCTAAATTTAAATTACGGCTTTCTTCCTTATACTTCCATGACTTATCCGTAGTTTCTTTGTTCATGCACTCTCCTCATTATCCCCAGCAACATCATTCACAAGTGAATGACTTCGGGGGGGGAATAGTGTAAGGACAGGTCTGAGGTGCCAAGCCTCGGACTGCTACAGTAATTCCTTTATGATCGAAGTGAGAAATGAATCCAAAGCTCCCTGCTCAAATAGCTGCATGACAATGACAATAAGCATGCCCGCACCTGATTCCTTATGACGAGTGGCACAACAAGTATGGTGGACATCCGTGCATCTGA